AGGGCCAGGCTGGACGGAGCTCGCTGGGGAGGCAGCGCAGAGGAGACGGGGCCAGTTCCAGGAGGAGCGGGACCCGGCGGTGCCGTCGCTGCTCCCCGAGCACATCCGGGTGCTCTGCTAACTATCCCGCTTCCATTTACTGGAGACAGCAGGCTTTGCTGAAATATTAAAACTACATTTTCGGCTCTTGGGTCTCGGAGCATCGCGGAGCTGCTGCCATCAGAGGAAGACTCTGGAATGAAGCGAATCAATAAAATATAAATAAAAGGCAGTGCAGCGAGGCACCTGCACGCGCAGCGGCGTGTGTCTGAGCTGGGGGAGCAGCACCAGGACAGGCCCAGCGAGAGCCCAACCACCCAAGCACTGTTGGAGCAGGGGAAGGGTGCACACAGGCAGGAGGTCCCCTCACCAGGACCTCACTTGTGCCTCCACTTAATCACGTTTCAGGACGAGATTCTGCCCTTCCTGTGACCGTGCCACCAAGCCAGTGGCATTCAGGACTGTTCTTCCTCCATCCTTTTGATTAGCCCTGCTGTTGGGCGCGAGAATGTACTTACTGCCCAGAGCAACGGGATTAACATTGATCTAACCGGGGAGAGCTGTTATTTATTTATTTCGTTATTGGATAATCCCCTCATTGCTGTGGCATCTGGCTCTGCTGCAGATGAAGACGAATATCCGCCGGAGCCGGGGCTAGGGCACGGGCCCCCGGACGAGCTGAGGAAGCCGCCTCGAGATGAACCTCGTTTGGGAGCAGGCAGGATGTCTGTGGAATAGCTTCAGTGCACCCTTTCGATGGGATTTCTCCCCACGTCCTTTTCCTTGCCTCTTTTTTATTTCCCTTGATGGATTAAGCTTTCCCCAACAGGGTGCAGGAAGGCTTCTCCGGAGCCTCAGGTATTACCATCCCCTAATGGTTTAAGGAGGGCTCTGCTGTTCCAGGGAGGGCAAAAAGGGCTAAGCCCATTAGCTCAAGGGAAAGGCTTGGAAAGGTCCATACGACCACAAGTCAGATTGAATAACTCTGGGAAAGTGGATTTCCTCCCAAAACCATCTGCTGCCAGGAGCCGTTCCGTCCTGCCTCCCTGCCCGGCATTGCCCTTATCTCACAGGGAGGCCTCTTGGTGGCTCTGAGATTCGGTTTCTTTCTGGTTTTTGTTTCTCGAATCGACTCTTTTCTCTCCATTCCCCCGGCATAACAGGAATGCGGTTATGCTCTTGGGGTCATTAGCATTGCTTGTGCTTTTGTGAGCATCTGCATTGGAAAGTGGCTGATCTGATGATTAATGGATGGATAAGCTGAACAAGCATAACTGGAGAATTTCCGGGGGGGCTGGCCGGCATTTTTATTTTTAAAGGAGTGAAAGTGACTTTAAAAATAATGGACTTGTTAAGGTGAATTTTAATCCTGTGACAGCAAGAACAGCCTGTGGTGCAGAGACAGGCACATGAAGTTGTCCTCGTAGGCCCACGTCGCGCTTGGCTCCTGCGTCATCTTCTGCTCCTGGCAGTCCTGCTCGTTCTCCCTCCTTTGCTGCTGCAGACCCCGCACCCCATTCGGACCTGCTGCACGTCCCGCTGTTCCTGCCGGCCCTGCTCTTCCTCCGTGGGATCCAGGGTCATTATTAGCGTCGTGGAAGCAGCAAGCTGGACGGTGCTGGCGCTGTGACTCTACGGAAGAGGCACGGGCAGTTCCCCTGGACCTTCCCTGCCAAAGCGTTTTGGAGGACAGTGCAGCTTGGACTTGGAACCAGAGCTTTGGCAAACAAGAGGCCATTATATACATTTTCTAGATGCAGTTCTGGCTGCTTCCTTCAATGGCATCTCCAGGAGCAGCTCAGAAGCTCCACTCCATTTTTAATCTTCTTTTGGAGCAGGGGTGGATGCAGCATTATTCACTGCAAGCTCCTACATGACCATCCCTTCCTCAGGAGACATAAAAAAGCAGGGATTTCCACCACACAGACAGGGAACAGACTCTAAGGATTAAATGCCAAAACTGTTACTGGGTCTTTCAGCAGTGCTCTAAAGATGCCTGGAAAACATCTTGAGCTTCCAACCATTGATTATTATTCCTTTCTCCTTTTAATCCCCTTTTTTTTCAGCTGTACTAGCACTGGGGATAGGTTTGGCCTAAAACACTGGGATCAAAATCATCTGATCTAAGTCTACTGTTCCATTTTAGCCAAGGCCATGTGGGCTGCAGACTCTTTTGAGTCAATCAAAAGACTCCCAGAGGTCCTTGATACCAAAATTTGGGCAATGGCTGCAGACAGCAGCTCTCCATGGACTGCTGCCCTCTTTAGCTTGCAGGACTTTGCTTCTCTGCCTGAGAGCCACCACGTCCAGGTCCAAGGACAGGGAAGCAGAGTGACTCAGGGCTGAAAACTTCATCTCCCCAAACTTCACCACCACCACTGAGTGCCAGTAGCCAGCTGTTCTCTTCTTTGGTGTTTTGTTTTTTTTTGAACAGGCCTTGCGCAGAGAGCTGGAACAGTTTGGGATGGGGAAGGTTTTCTTTACCCCTGCAGTGTTCACGCTGATTGTCTTTCCTGTTCCTCTCCTGGGTCCTGGGCTTAGAGGCTGTAAGCACCAAGGGCTATGTTGGATGTTGCTGGGAAGTCCCGTGTGACGCAGTAGTGGCTAGTGGCAATGCTGGCCCATTTCAGGACAGCTGCAGCGTTGAGGGAGGCAGTCAGAGCAGCACCTCCCAGGTGAGAGATGGGTTTCTAGCTAGATCAGGCACTTGGCGACGTAGAAGGAGGTGCTCCTGTCGTGGGAACGTACTCTGGTTCACGCAATCTCAGCTCTTCCTTTGGGATCATGCTTTTCATTTCCTAGGGAGCTTGCGATACCTTTGGTGACTCTCATTTAGCTTGGATTTCTTATCCAGTCCTTCTGTTTTCAAGAGGACATGAGAAAAGAAACAAGCTTCATGTAAGTAGGAGCTACCAGGAAGGCAGAAAGCTGGGTGTCTGATGGGCATCCGCAGCGTCGTTCTCCACTTTTTTCAGTTCTCAAATGTGCGGTAGGCCAATTTGTTCCACCTTCCTGGAGGCTGATGTGGCTCAGCTTTGCGCATGGGGCAGCCTTTTCACTGCCCATCTCTTTATGGGTTAGCAAGCACTATCTTTAGATCTGTCTCGTTGTAACTACTAGAGCTTTTGCTGTCTGCTTATGCCCATTTGCTTTCAGCTTCCTGCCTTTCCAGGTCTGACCTTTTAAAGCCTAAGAAAATTTAGCCCAGGTCCAAGGCTGAGATTGCTGTGGGAAACATCAGAGACCTTCAATATACTCTCCTGACAACTTTGTTCTCTGCCTCCTCTACAGAACGGAGTCAGTGGCAGAGAAGATGTTGACGAATTGGTTTACGTTTCTCCTGTACAAGTTTTTGAAGGTGAGTTTGGAAGGGGTTGCTAACCCAGCGTGGGAGGGAAGCGGGGTTCCTTTCTCACTGTTTTGGGGCAATGTGTTACGCAGAACCTGCGGGAACGACGTTTTTCCTGAGTTTTGCTATTCCCTTGTGGAGTACAGATGACTTCGAGGCCTCAGTTTCCTTCCTTTATTTCTGAAATGTCATTAGTGGTTCCAGCTCACCTGGGTATGTAGCTGAAATGGAGAAATGAAGTCTGTTCCTGCTTGCTTAACATGCAGTGTTTTGAAACTGAGGCTCTTTGGCAGCGTAGTATCTTCTCCCAAGTGAAGCCCACGTGCCCCCAGTTCTATCGCATGGGATCGAATGGGCTGCTTGGACAGTGTTTGTGGATGTGCTGCTGGCTTGTCAATCAGCTGAGACATTTCTTGGGATCTTGCCTGGCGTCAGCTCAGCAAAGCTGGGTGGCACGCGGCAGTTTTTGTGGGATTTCATCCCTCATTAAGATAAAGAGGGTTTGAACCATTTCCAGCCAAGAGATGAGAGCGAGCAGGAGTCTGTGCAGAACTCAAGTGATCGTCAACAAGAGGTGATTTATAATATCACTTACGTGCACTTGGCTCTTTGCCTCTGTCGAGGGATAGCCTGTATCTATAAAAATCTAACTATAGCATACAGTGGAGATTGCTTTCCAGGGGTGGAGGAGAAGAAAGCTGTGCCATTCAAAGGGAGATTTCAAACTCACTGCTTCCTCCTCATGCCACGGCTGGGGAATCCCTCTCCCCCTTGCTATGGCAGTGCCAGACATGAGTCAGGACCGTGCAGCTCACGCCCAGGGAACAAATGGGCTGAGCAAGGGATTGGATCCCGCTTTGGGAGAGATGCTGGGAGCGGACAGGAGCCGTCAGCTTGGGAAGTGTCCTTGGATGCCCTCGCACCTGTGACCCGCTCCGACTGTAGCAGAAGGGTGGGTGACTGCGCGGTCTGGGGAACGGAGAGGAATAGCTCTTGTTGTGGCTGAATTCCCTGAGGACCTCCTGAAGTGGGAAGCAAGACTGTGCTTGGACAGAGCGAAACACAACGGGGTCCTTCCAAAGCTCAGAGGGGCCTTTGGACCTTGCTGGTCTTGTGCGTGTGATCTGACCACCTTTGCTGTCTCTCGCTGGCCTGGGTGCTGTGGATAGATCACAAGGATTTAATCTCATTTTGCAACTGCTTTGGGCCAGTTAATTTACCACCTGCATTGGTTATTGTACAGCCTTGTCTTCCTTCAGAGTGCACCAAGCACCTTGCTCCTGTTGGGGCAGGTCTAAATAAGGAGTTACAGGAAGAGAGGGACATGGGGATGCAAACAGGGCACCTTCTCGCTGCAAAGGACTTGACTAAGCCAAGGAAAAATTGCTCCAGCCTCTGTGATTAGGAGTAAGAACCTGATTGAGGTGCATAGTTATGGGAGGGATATGCTGAGAGGGCCGAGGCAGGGAGATTCACAGTGCTGGGGATCGTGGTCCTGGAGAAGTGCTTGGAAGTTCATTGCTCCAGTCACTCGAGTTGGACTGGAGGAGGCTGAAGGCCACGATCATGATTCTCCCTTGCCTTGACCTCCCCAGAGGAGACCCGTGGGGCCTTTTCCATCCGTCTCCTGGCCATGAGGATCACAGGTGGCAGCAAAAGCAGGAGAAACCCGTGCGCAGACCGGAGCAGGGATCACAGCCAGCAGTTTGCCAGCAGGGAAACACGTGCCTGGCACCGGCGTGTGGTAATGGCACACGTAAACGGGGCAGGAGGCCGAGCGGGGTCCGAGTGCACTCGGAGCCACCTCGCCAGGGCCTGCAGGGCCCGTTCTGGCCTTCCCGGCGCCCGACACGAAGGCAGGGCAGCTGCTTGCAGTCTGCAGGGCCCGGCGCTTCCATTGGGCCCTGTAGCAGCGTTTATCAGGCTCTTAATGAGACACCCCGGGGAAAGGAAGAGGGATAAATCGAGACAAGCGCTGAAAGATGCCCGATATTAGGTGCCTGATGAGCTAAATCTAGTCGATAGGAGGGTGTGAGTGTGAGCTGGCTCGCAGCGCCGGCCTGCGGCCCGCGCCGGGCCTGTCCTGCCGCTCCGGCACCCAGAGGCTCCCCCAGGCCTCCCTGCTCCGTTACTGCCCCCGGAGCTGAACAAATTCTGCACGGGGCTGGCAAAGGGCATGGACACGGCCGGGTAAGGCTCCTGATCAGCCAGCGGGGTGGCCTGTCTCAAGGCCTCAGATGTTCTCCCTTGGATCTCACCCTATGGGAGATAATCTTGGTGCTATCGCTTGGGCTAGGTCAAAAAGCAGGTGCTAGTTTGCTAGTTTCTCTGATCATCTTTCAATTTGATGCTCTCTGGCTGTGTCCGGGATGTGCCCTAAACTGCGCTCATCTGATAGTGACCCAGTTTAGGTGGCCTGTGGCAGCGTCTCAGTCCAGGGGTGCTGGAGAAGTGACCACAAATGCTCACGTGTTCCCTCTGGGGAGGCCGTGGAGACTCATAAGGGCACCGTAAGGCCAGATCTCAGCCCTGAGTCTAAAACGAGGTTGATCCTGCATGAGCCAGGCCAGTGTTGGAGCAGTGACGGAGGTAACAGCCAGATGCCTGGAGAGCAACTGCGTTCCTGGTGGCGAGACAGGGCCACATCAACAGGCATCTCCTGTCAGCGTTTGGTGTCGGGCAGCGTTTGGTGTCGGATGTGTGACCCAGCCAGACCAGTGCTCGGGGTGTTTTTGAAGGGAGCTGGTGCTGCTAGCGGGTCCTCTCACAGAGGGCTGGATACCACAGTGCCACGCCAAGCCAGGCGGCCTAGGAGAGGGGATTCTGGGCTGAGAAGGGAGCAGAGAATCAAGTTGTGACCAGCCTCATGCTTCATCTGAGCCATTTTTTCCTACTGGAGGTTTTACAAGGAGCTTTTATAAGCAATCAAGGGAAGTGACTCCGTCTTCATGTCATGGCAGCGGCAGCACCGCGCGGGTCGGCACCACACGGGGTAGTGCTCTGCGGTCAGTCTGGTGCTCCCACGTGGCAAGAGAGCTGTCAACAGCAGCGTAGCACCCACCTTGGGTCTCTTTCCCCCTCTCTCACATTTCCAAGCTGACTTAATGAAGCCAAGCTTGCAAATGGAACATAATTTCAAAGACAGGCGTGTTGTCGGAAGGTCTGGGGATGATGTATGCCTGTTCCTGCTCGTTAGCAGCTGTCTCTTTAATTACCGCAGATGCTAACGAGATGCTAACAGCATATGGTGACAGGGAGAGCAGCCGCACTTTGCACCAAAGTACAATTTATTTGTGAGGCGGCCGGGAGGGAGGAGCGAGGGCTGGTGGGGTAAAATCTGCTGGGATTTCTCCAGTCCGCTCTGCTCCTGTCTTACCTTTTTTTTCCCTTAGGACTAACCCCTATATCTGGGAGGGTTATATCTGGGATGCTGCTCCGGAGAGGTTTGAACCCTGGGTGATACCTGGGTACCCCCTGCCTGTGGTCACAGCCTGTTTGGTGTCTCCAACCTTGGTTTGTCCTTGGCTGTTCCTAGGATGCTGCAGCTCAACATCCAGACTTCATTCCCGGGATGGCACCTGGTGTCTCTCTCCCTTATTCCCACCTGGGAGATTGATGCTGATGTGGCTGTGGTTGATGGGCTGGAGCTGCCTGTGCCTCTAGGATTTGGCAGTGGGAAGCACTTAGGTAGCAAGTGGCTTCCCTGCAGGGACTGCTTGTCACCCAGTCCGCTCCGTTGTCTGGAGGCTAAGGACGGGGTTGGCAGTGAGCTGGTCTCCTGCTTTTCCTTCCTGTTAGATCTGGCCGGCTGTGTCCAGCTTTTATGTGAAGAAATCACTTTTGAGCTTCTGCTCGCATAAGGCTGGGCCCTTGGCAGAAGCCAGAACCGTATCCCTGATTTCTGGGGGCCTCCAGGCTGTCTTACTGAACCATTAATTTTCCAGTCCTCAAGTGTTTTTCTTGGCTTTGCCAGGCCCATAGCTCAGAGGGGATAGTTTGCATCCTGTGCACAGGAGGTCCCCAAACCCGACACGCCTGATGCAGCTCTGCAAAGTCCTATCTCTCTGCTCATCTCAGAGCAGCTCTGCTGGTCACTGGCCCTGAGTTTAACCTTTTTGTTTTATTTTTTCTTGTGGAATGAATGGAATTCATCAATGAGTAGCTGGAAACTGCGAGGGTACTGAGTCTATGGGTTTATAAGCAAGGGAATAGTCTTCACTTGGTTTGGAAGGAGTGGATGACTTGATCCAAGGGAGGAGGTGCATCTGTGTGCCCTGCGCTTCCTTTCAATCTTGGTCAAGGCTTGGGGATTGTTTATAAAGCCGCCTTGGTCCAGGCTCTTGTCACTGTGGTTCTTTTGAAAGGCAAGGCTGGTGCTGGCACCTTCTCACCCCTGTCTCTTGCTTGCCCACGTCCCACAGGAGTGCGCTGGGGAGCCGCTCTTCATGCTCTACTGCGCCATCAAGCAGCAGATGGAGAAGGGACCCATCGATGCCATCACGGGAGAGGCGCGCTACTCCCTCAGTGAAGACAAGCTCATCCGGCAGCAGATCGACTACAAAATGCTGGTTAGTGCAAGCGGGAACCTCGCCAGCGCTGGTTCTTGCTCAGACCCCTTGGTCCAGCTATTCAACAAGGTCTTTGAGGCACAAGGTCTGACTTGTCTGGGGCAGAAAAGGGGGCTGTTGCACAGCAAGATTTGCTCTTGCCATGGAGCTGGGAAAGCTGAACGCAAACTGTGTTCCCCCAGCACCTCTTCTGGCAAACCCTGAGGCGCTGAGGGACATGGGGACAGAGATGCTTTGAGAACAGCCCATGTTTGGAGTAGCCAATGGCTCCTGTTGGGTGAGGCTCAAGAGTTAGACCCTTGAGGTGACTGTGGAGGAAGAACGAATACTCTTCATCCTCCTGTATCAACTGCCTCCTCTGTGCAGCTGCGTTAAGCCAAGCCCTTTCCCCAGCTAAGCGTGTAGCTGTTTTTTCTTCCTCCATCTTCGCTTGAGTTGAGTTGGGAGCGAGGGTCATATTGTTAGGGAACTTGTTACCAAGTTTTCCTGTCCAAAGCTGAGATTATCTGACAGCCTTCCTGCATTTTGTGGCACTTTGCCCCTTTGAAGACAATCCTGTGGAGGGATTGAGGCTGCTGATTATCTCCACCTCTGCTGTTGAGGAGGTAGAGACGGGACCTCATCCCATGGCTCCTGTCGCTACCCCTGCAGGGTAGAGCATCTGTCTGTGCATGGACTTTGTTCAGACTAAATGGGTTTGGGTGGTTTGAATATGCTTTGCTGGCTCCCCTTGGATGCCTGCATTGGCAGCATGCTGCCTTTCTGGGACTGCTTGGAGATTTGTGGGTTGAAGAGAGGAAAGGGGAGCAGGTACATGCACTGTGCCTACACCTCTGCAGTGAGCAGCGGATAGAAGGTGTCCTGGGATCTGCTGGTACCCTCTGCTCACACGAGTCTTTGTGCTCTCCTTTGCTGTGCAGACACTGAACTGCGTGAACCCGGAGAACGAAAATGCCCCCGAGATTCCTGTCAAGGTGCTGAACTGTGACACCATCACGCAGGTGAAGGAGAAGCTGCTGGATGCTGTGTACAAGGGGGTGCCCTATTCCCAGCGGCCCAAAGCCGGAGACATGGACCTGGGTAAGAGAGAGGAAAAGCCCTCCCTATGGGGAATGGCAAAAAGACCCTCAAGTACCAAAGAGCATTAAAGGCAAGGCAGCAAATGTGAGTCTCCTACAAGATGGACTTGGTTGGACTATTGCATTTATGCTTGCCCAGTCTGTTTTGGCTAGGATTGCAGTGCTGGTGGCATTGATTGTGCATGGAGATATCTCCAGCGTGAGGACTTCTGGGATGAGAAAATGAGCCCTGCAAGTAAAGAGGATGGGGAAAAGATTCACCTCAGCTCTGGCAGGTGTGAGCTTGCTGAGGAGGCCAGAAGTACCTGAGGACTGTTAATAGTTCCATTCCTGAAAGTGGGACAGGAGGATGGGGAAGAGGGGAGCAAAGAAAGCTCATCTGCTAGGGTCAAATTGAAGCCATATTCCCTTGTGTGCCTAGAGGTGGCTTTTCTCCAACACCATGTTGATAGTCAGCAGTGCTGGGGTGCAAAAGGTGGCAGTAGGGCTCGTGTTTCTGGTGAGACCTTGCTCCCCTTGCCTTAGCGTTGTGCTCCAAGCCCTTTGCTAACCATGGGCCTTCTCCCTCACGGGGACAGAGTGGCGGCAGGGCAGGATGGCCCGGATCATACTGCAGGACGAAGACGTCACCACAAAGATCGACAACGACTGGAAGAGGCTGAACACGCTAGCCCACTACCAGGTAAGGCTGTCCGTGGCACAGAGCAGTCACTGCTCACTGAGACCCGCCCTGCGCCTCTCCTCTCCCTGCTCAGCTTGGCCAGAGCTTGGACCTGGCTTCCTGACCACGCTGCTGGTGCAGGTTACATGCTCGGGAGGTCTGTGGTCCCTTTTTCTATGTGATCCCCGGATTTATGGTCCTTCTGTTCATGAAGGCACTATATGGGGTATCCTCAGGACTCACTGAAGCTGTGTCTTGCTCTAATGTTTTCACATCCAGGTTTCCTATTCTAAGCCCTGTCCCAGAGCTGTTGCAGAGGTAGATACACAGGTGGTCTTTGTTGGAGAAGGAAGGCCCTGGGATGCAGTGCAACGTTGCTGCAGCCCTCCTGAGCCCCCAAACTGCTTGTTCCTCCCTGGGAGAGAGACTAGTCCTCTCCCAGCTCTGTGCCTCTCCTGGAGTCACAGTCTGCTTATGCCATCTCTGCCCTCCAGGTGACGGATGGCTCCTCAGTAGCCCTGGTGCCCAAGCAGAACTCAGCCTACAACATCTCCAACTCCTCCACCTTCACCAAGTCCCTCAGCAGATACGGTGAGTGGGCATGGGGGTTTAGACCGTGCTGGCCAGAAAGGCAGCACTAGGCTGGGTTGCCAAGCCAGACAAGATGACTGCAATTGCAGCTCACTGGAGCAAGTTCCTCCAAACCCCTAAACTCCCCTGCATCAGGCAGTGTTTTACTTCTGGCATGTAACAGGGAGCAGGTACCCTGAGAATCATCTCTTTCTGCAAAGTGTTGGACCCAATGGAGATGGTCACATGTCAGATGGCTGCTAGTAAAGGGATCCCCTCTCTTTTATTGCCCTGAAATCTAATTAAAATAGGCATAGAAGTGCTTTGCACTTAAATGAGCACATTTGAGGGCTCCAGAGAGCTTGCTCCCTGTGTGTTTCCAGTGCTGGCCTGGAATATAGTGGTTAGCTCAGACAGTTGCAGGAGGCCAGACTGTGATCCTGACATCTCTGTGCTGGGAGCAGAGCAGATCTCTGCAGAATCCCTTTTCACACAGTATCAGTCAGGATTGAGTTTTGCCTGGCTGGCTGTGAGGACGGTCCCGAGCCGAGCTCCGGATCCACGGCAATGCCCAGCACAGCCGCGTTTGGAGGCGGAATCCCACGGCTCGTGTTTCACAGCCAGGACATGCACTGAAGTGGGTGGAAGGGAAGGGGAATGGAGAGGCTGGAGGTGAAATGGAAGTGGTCAGTAAGGTGAGGGGTTTAGTTTGCTGCTGTGCTGGTGCTTGCAGAGAGCATGCTGCGGACGGCCAGCAGCCCCGACAGCCTGCGCTCACGCACCCCCATGATCACGCCGGACCTGGAGAGCGGCACCAAGCTCTGGCACCTGGTGAAAAACCACGACCACATGGACCAGCGGGAGGGCGACCGGGGCAGCAAGATGGTCTCCGAAATCTACCTGACCCGCCTGTTAGCCACAAAGGTATGGCAGAGACACAGCTGCATCCCAGCTTTGGAAATCCTGCTGGGAAGGGTTGGCAATTCAGGTTATCCAGGAGTGATAGCAATGTTTCTTTTATTAGACTTTTGCTTCAGCATAGGAGGAGCTGCTCTCTTGGTCTCAGCCTTCCTGAGCTGGAGTGATATCTTTATGTATCAAACCCCTCAATCGTATTTCTTGAGTGGAGTTTCCTATTTGCTTTTTACACTTTTTGGCACTTTGACTTTTCTCTGTATTCTTGAGCAGCTGCTGGACTGCCAAGCAGAGTTGCTCGGGGCAGGTGCCTTGTGCTCTGTATTTGAGATTAAAGCTGCAAAATCAGTGATGTAGGAACGGTGATTACCTAGGGCATTTGGCATCACAGCGGGTTCCACTTCTCTCAGCACAGATAAAATCTTCTCTAATGCTGAGCGGGTGCTGTTTGTCTGAGATCACCCTGGAGAGGAGCGGAGGGCTGTGTTGAGCTGCAGAGGTTGGTGTCAGGCAGCCCCTCTGTGACTTGGCTCCATTTCTGATGGGACCTGAGGGTTTGTTCAGTTATGTTTATGCTCAGGCTTTGGGTACCCGATGGAACCCAAATAAGCACCTTGGTCCAGCATAAAACCACTTGGTTTTCATGTGTATGGGGGTTTTATTTGTATGCCTTTAGCATGCCAGATCATGCAGTGAAGGAGAAATCTCATCACCAAAGTGTCTATATCCCACTGTACACCACTGAGAACCAGTATGGTTGCACTGGCTGTCCTGTGCTCCTGTTCGGGTGATGGGAACAGCAGTGAGATTAGTTTAAAGACCAACCCCAGGGCTCGTCTCTCTGCTGGTACTGGGCACTGCTGAGTGTCCCCTCTCTCTTCCCCCTCCTCAGGGCACCCTGCAGAAGTTCGTGGACGACCTGTTCGAGACCATCTTCAGCACAGCGCACCGCGGGAGCGCGCTGCCCCTCGCCATCAAATACATGTTTGACTTCCTGGATGAACAAGCTGATAAGCATCAGATCAATGACTACGATGTCAGGCACACCTGGAAGAGTAACTGGTAATGGAGAGGGGCAGCAGGACGGGCAGCTACAGATATCACAACTAACGATGCTTCGTGTGCTTCTCAAGAGAACATAAACGTACCTCTGATGGTTTCTGGCAGTGACACGGGTTAAGAGATGCCCGTACCTCTGTATTTTCGATGTGGGTTGCATGCCTTCCTGTGGGAAACACCCTAGGACTGTCACATCCCTTGGCCATTACAGCCACCGGCCAAGGTGTCACACTCCCCCGACGGCTGGAGTCTGCTGCAGACTGCAGCGGTTCTTTCCTCACCTTGGGATAGCGAGGCTGGGCTTCCTGGTCCTTCAGGCTCCCTGGGAGATGCCAGCCTCTATTCTCATCTCCCTTGTCCTGAAGGTGTTTGCTGTGCTCGCCGCAGTCACTCAGCCGAGCGCGCTGTAACACAGTTAGTGCAAAGCCATGTGTGCATCCTCCGAAACTCAGCCTGTGGACCTGACCCATCAGCTCTGCTAATCGCTCTCTGAGAAGCAAGGAGGAGCTGTTTAGGAGACCTCAAAAAGTCCTGTGATGGGGCCAGGGCTCGAGTGCACGTTGGCACCACCCACCCTCAGCATTCTTGCTTTCTGCTGCCTCGCTGATTTCATCTCTCTGATCTTGCCGTTACTGGAGACGGGGCTGTACATTCCCGTGTCTGGCATTTGTTAAATGGCAGCCAAATTGCTTTTGTATAGTTCAGTAACTGTTGGCAATTAGCAGGGCAGGAAAAAAAAACATTTTTAAATGGAGATGTGAGAGTGCAGAAGTGCTTGGAACTGATTTATACCTCTGCTTCCTATATTAAAAGAAGGAGTGAAAGGCAAGGGAGGAAAAAAAAGCCCCATTCCGCAGGGGCTGGGCATGCAGGCTCCTGCATACTAATGCCTGTGCTTATCTCTGGGTGCTAATTCGATGTGTGGAGCTAATTTCTCGAGGCCATTCCCTTCACAAATGAAATATGTACATGCACCCAGTACCCTCATTAGGAAAGTCCTGAGGAACGAAGTGTGTTTTGTCTAAGATAAAAGCATTCACTGAGTGTTGCTGCTCAGGGATGACAGATCTGCAAGCACTTTAATGGGAGGAGGCCCAGAAACGCTCCTGGGAGAAGAGAGGGGCTTGACTATGGGGCATGGAGCAATGAAGAGTGGCATGAGTAGAAATTAGGGGGAAACATCCAGTGTGTGGCTGGCTGGGAGACCCAGTTCCTCTAAAACTGACAGATTCATCATCCAATATCCGACACTGCCTAAATTCTCCTCTTCTAGCAAGCGTGCTAATGAATCCCTTGCAGAGCCCCATTAATCCCCTCCTCCAACATGGGAAATGTGTGAAATGCCACAGGGCATTTTAGCCAGAATTACTCATGTGAGAAAGCGAGGTTTGACTGAGAGGCTCAGCAAGGGTTGTTTAATATGAGTGGATCCTTGGAGAAGCCACAGGTCTTCCCTGCCCTCACTGGCCTTCGGAAGCACTGGTGGTGCTGAGGAATTTCTCACTGCAGCCTGTTGAGTGCTGCTCTCCATGGGGAGCAGTGGCCATGTCCGGGTGGACAAAGGATGTGGGATCACAACAGAACACAGGAGAACACAGATTGTATCCGTGGGGACCTGGGAAAAGGAACCTGCTAAATTCTGAGTGCCCAGGAGCAACTCTTGTGCAATTGGAGGGCTGTGTGTGCCAGCTGTAGTGCTTGGTTCGTGTACTGATGCCTGTTTCTTTCTTCCCTCAGTCTACCTCTACGTTTTTGGGTGAATGTGATTAAGAATCCCCAGTTTGTGTTCGACATTCACAAGAACAGTATTACTGATGCCTGCCTATCCGTGGTGGCTCAGACATTCATGGACTCCTGCTCAACTTCTGAGCACAAGCTAGGAAAAGACTCTCCCTCCAACAAACTACTGTATGCCAAGGACATCCCCAACTACAAGAGCTGGGTAGAAAGGTGAGTAGACTTGGCAGTAGCTCCTTGCTTTACCCACAGGATTTGTAGTGTACATAACTGGTCCTATGGTGACTTGGTTGTTGGGAAGACTCTCAGCTGTCTGAGATGGGACCATAATAACACTGGTGGAAGGTGATCCTCTTGTTTGGGAGATGTTGCCTTCTTGTAATTGACTTCTGGAAGCAGTTTGCAATGACTCTTTGACAAGGCCATTTATGCCTCGCTTAAGGGGTACTAAAAACAACTTCTATCCTTAGGTAGCCTGATGTTTTCTGTTGTAAAAACTTATTGTGGGCTGTGCTAGGGAAATGGTAACATCTTCCTTGATTGCTTTTGAAGAGAAGTAAGTAGTAAGCCTTGGACTAGAGAGGTGCCTTTTTTATACCATGGAAGCACTTGCAGGTTTTGCTGAGATGATTGAAAATTACCATTTCCCATCTCTCATCCATCTGTGCATCTCGGCTGGGATCCTGATGAGAGCACATGTTCTGAGACAGTGCCTGGGCTGCCGTCCGTGTGCAGAGGAGAAAAGAAAGAAGCAGGTCCCCCAAATTCTTCCGACACCCTTCATTCACCATTAGCTGATGAGACTCATCCCTTTGTCCCGCTGAATTAATGCAGAGTTAGAGGTTCAGGATTTGAATGCTACTGATTGCAAATTGATACTCTCAGGCATGATGCTGTGTTTAGCTTTATCCTTTTGGGAAGGAAACCTAGGAAATGTCCTACAAAGCCCTTCAAACAGACCTGCTGTTAAAATGTTACCGAGTTGCAAAGTGGGACTCTGAACATTATATTTGAGGTTGCTGATACCCTTGTGCTGAGGAGTTGTGCTCTAGGTTACACACGCTGTTTTAGTAATGATCCTTAGCAAACCAAATTAAAGATGCCTTAACAATAAAAAGCCTCAAATTCTTTGGTTTGGACTTTGTAGCCTAAGTCATGTTCTTTGGATGTTTGCTTGTACACAGTTATTCTTTTTGGTTGCACTGTTGGCACACCTGGTGCTTTGCAGGAAGGTACAAAGACAAGACTTGTCCCTGGAGGTATGATTTGGATTAAAGGAAAAATGTCCCTGAAATATGATGGGTAAGATGAGAGAGGAGCTGCATTGTAAAGTGAGAAGCTCTTCAGAGAGGGTTGGGAGGAGTTTTGGAGTGTGGTCCCTTAGGAGCATCACAGACTTCACTGCCTTTAAGCGTAAGGTGTATTTCTCTGACCTTGTCATCTCTATGACAAAAATACTCAGCTCGGTGTGTGCCCAGAGAGAAAAGTATAAAACTATTCCGCAGCGATGCATTGGTCTCGACTTGCTGTATCCCTGGGGACAAGAGGGACGATCTCACTGGGGACAGATGTCGCTGCCATCGCTTAGCACAGTGAGGAGGTGCTCGGGTGTGCTGCTGCCGAGAGGTAACAGAGCAGGAGGGTAAAGCTGTGTTGGGCAGGGTGTGACTTCCCATTCTGGCTAAGTGACTGCATTTCCCACTTCTCCTCTGCTCAGGGGTTTTACTGAGTAATTGGTATTTCTGTCTTTAGCATATTTATAATTGCAAAGTTTGCAGAGGCAGGATTGGAGTGATGCGAGGGTGGCTGAGTGGGACTGGTAATTGCAATAAAAGGTCTGTCTGCCACCTTGGCCAGCTGAAGAAAGGGCATCCTGCCAGGCAGTCTGAGGCATAAATAACGTGTTAAAGGGCTTAGAAGGTGGGAGAACCTGGGGAATCCCAAAGGGATTGCTGCCAGGATCACTGCTGTGCAGGGACTGGTAGGTGTCTACTGGAACAGTTAGTGCTCACTGTCATCTTGGTTCATGCAAGCCATGCATATGTCTATTGAAAAATGATTGTTTCTTGTCATCCTTTGTGTCGTGACAAAACCTGGAACATACAAATCCTTCATTTGACCAAGAAATCTTGGTATGGCAACCAAGAAAGCTTCCTTTCTTAGTAGGAATATGGAATCATCCTGATGAGTCCATATCCACCGTAAGTCCACCCCACGAGAAACCTTTCCCTGCAGTGACCTGTGTAAAAGTTAAAGGTTGGCCAGCAGGATCTTAATGAGATTTCTTTGCTAATCAAAGCTGACTGGAATTAAGAAATCTTGCACTTTTTGTCCCTAGTATGCCTCTGGATAGATGGAAGTAGAGCTGACTTTATGAGAAATCTCCATGAGTGTTATCTTGAGCAGCTTAGTGCACTGCTTGATGCCTGGTTTAGTGAGAGATCCTCAGCCCGGACCATGACTCTCCTTTCTTCCGAAACCCTCTGAAAGTATCTGGGATATCTCTCTCATCATCACCTTGGCATAGCTGAGCTTTTTGTTAAAAAAAAAAAAAACAAAGAAAAAAAAAGAAAAAACTCACAACTGCCTGAGTATTTTATCACTAGTTGAATTCAGCACCATGAGAGGTAGTGGATCTCATATTCCTGTCCTCAAATTGTCTTGTTGCCATCTGCTCGTATTCAAGTGCTTCAACCATGTTCCGCCTCACCTGATTAGCCGATGATGCTAATGATGCTAATTGCTGTACCAGAAAGTTTACTGAGTTTTTGAGGAGTCTTGAGGAGTAAAGCAAACCTGGCAGAGACTTGTACTCCATGTTTCCAGCTGGTGTGAGTGGGGAAGCTGGTTTGCTGTGAAGAGGGTTCCTTTTTCAACAGAGGGCTGTGGATCCGAGCCTGGTTCCTAAAGAACCTCGATCTGAGGTCCTTTCCTGCCCTGAGTTTGCAGATGTGAACACTGAAAATCTCAGTCATAAAATGTCTCGTGTCTTTGAGAAACAACTCTGTGAGGACCTGGTGAAAAAAATATTTAAAGCAAACACTGTAGGCACCATCTTCCTGGGTTTCTGGGCAGAGAACAGCTAGGTTGTGTCTTAAAAACCTCAGCTTAGTCTGTAGCTCTCCTGCTTTCCCTTTGGAAACAAAGGTGCACGGGGGCCCCAGAAACATCTAGCTGCAGTGGAGGGGTCTGTGTGCCCTGCACACGAGTGGGTTTGTCACGGCTGTGGCCTTGCTTGTGCACTGTCCCTGTGTCCCACGCGGGGACAGGGACTGTCACCACCGTGCTGCTCCCCACGCGCTGGGATATTGAGGCTTCCTCCTGCTCCCCTCTAATTTTGACTGAACAATATGTTTTGTTTTTCCACTGTGGTTCTGGATCCAATATAAGCTGTGTTCGGATTTCCCTGTATTTGCTGATAATATGAGTGAGGTGGCCAAGGGATGGGAACAATAATCTTAAGATGTCCTAGGAAATTTAAAATAGTATCTTGCTTGTAGCAACCGTCAGAGAAGAACAAGAAAAGCTAGAGAGCACCTGGCCAAAGTAATTTAGCCCAGCCATGCCCTAAGACATCTGAACTGTGGAGTCAAATTCTGTTGCCCATGGTTTATAGTGTCACAGAAATTTCTGCAAACCTTGGTTTCGCTAAAAACTAAAGATATTAGTAGCTTTCCAGTGTGTTAACTCTTCTGAGTCCTTCAGGCTCCAATAATAGGCTCTGTTTGAGTGCCTGTTATTGAGGAAGATGTAGCTATCCAGAGCTGGGAAGCATGTTTAAATGCAGGCTTTGATGTGGAGTTGTCTCATGTTCATACACTGAATATTTCACTGAATACGGAATGTCATCACTGGCTTTAGTGACATACTAAACTCAGGAGAACAGTAACAAATCTCACATAGTGCTGCAGACGTGAATGGGAGGAGGTTTGGTGGCAACACGCAGGGGCACGAAGGAGGGAAATGCAGTTTGGAAGAGGCTGGGAAGTTCCTTTGGAGCATCGAGTCACCGTCCCTGGCAGTGTTGAAGAGACTTATTGATGAGGCACTTAGGGACATTGTTTAGCAGGATGGTTGGACTTGATGATCTTGAAGGTCTTTTCCAACCATACTGATTCCATGATTTTATGACTGTGATCTGCAGCCGGTCGTCTGGCCGCGCTCGGGGCCGCGCTTGGCCCTGGCCCTGCTGCTTGCCGCCCCGTCTGCAGCGTGTGGCTGATGACACCGACCCCTCTGGAAGGTGCTCGGACACCCACCGATGAGTGTCAGGGTTGTGACGAGCAGCAGGGTTGTGACGAGCGTCAGGGTTGTGACGAGCGGCGGCCGCGCGTGACCGCTCGGAGCCGCGGTGCTCCTCGCGCTGCCTCTCCGTAGGGTGCTCTCAGCGAGGGCTCATCCCGTCGGCCTCTCCCTCTTTCCGACACGCTGTTCTGTTTCTCCTCTCCCTTGCAGATATTATGCAGATATCGCTAAGATGCCAGCAATCAGCGACCAGGACATGAGCGCGTACCTGGCGGAGCAGTCGCGGTTGCACCTCAGCCAGTTCAACAGCATGAGCGCGCTGCACGAGATCTACTCCTACATCACCAAGTACAAGGATGAGGTAAGCTGTGGAGGTGGGGGTAGAGGGGTCACATCTGCTCTGCGAGCCTCATCCGTTGTCCTTGGTTTCCACATTACTCATCTGGTTCCTACAGAAATACACCCTGGGAAGTGCGGGTGGGGAACGGCTCCGTGCGTGTGTTTGGCCCGGCAGGCGAGGCGTGGGACGAGGGCCGGCCCTGGGGGTTTGAGAGCCCCTTGCACCCGTTGTGTGCACGCCTGGACCGCGCTGCCGTGCCCGTCCCGACCCAGCGGCGCTTGGGTTCGCGCTGACCCGGGACGGGCTCTGGAGACGGGTGGAGATGAAGGCAGCGGGGATGGGTGCTGAGCGAAGGGGGATCTGGTGAGCGGCTCCCACCGCGTTGCTGCCGCCTCCAAACCCCGAGCTCTCCATCCTCTGGCCAGCGCAGTCAGCTCCTCTGCTGCCTGACCAGCAGCTTCCCCTGCCCGGGCCCTTCCTGAGCCTGAGAGGTGGTGGTTTGCTCCCATATTTTCTGCAGTAAGCAGTGAGGGAATCACCTACTCTCCTTTTCCTGCCTAAGCAGCTGGCACGTGAGCTCTACGGGGCTCCACAGTCAGCAGCATTAGCTCAGGGTGGCCTCCTGCTCCAGAGGGAGGCATCACCCGGCCCCGCTCCCCGGGGCTGCTAGCGGCCGTGGTGGCCGCTTTCCTTGCAAACGTTATGAGGAATGGTTAAACCTCTCCTCTGTCGTGATTTATACAAATTAACTTCGTAAAGCACCACTCCAGTCCACACCCTGCATCTTTTTATTAAAGCAATAAAATCTATAACTACACTAAAATACGGGTCTACACATATAACACGATGATGCAGGTTTTATTTCCCCGCTAAAGCTGACTGATGGCTGCGTTGGGACGGCCCTGCCAGAGCATCTCCTCCCCGCTCGCAGAGAGGGGACCTCATCCGCGCTGCGGGCGAGGGCCGTGGCCGCGCGGGGGGACGCGGGTGGTGTCCTGGCTGCTTTGGACACAGCGGTGCCGTGGGGTGTCCTGGACATCCTCCTGGAGGTTGGAGTTTAGGAAGTCGGTTGGCCGGTCGTAGCAGTAAAGCGCCTGCCGCGCAAGGAGGGAGGCTGGAGCGTGTCTGCCGAAACCCCTCCGGAGCCGGAGGCTCTGCCGAAATCCCTCCGGAGCCAGTAGCTTTGCGGCCAGCCCCCCATCGCCGGTGGGAATGGGGGACATTCCATGGAGCGTTACAGGATAGGTGGGCACTGCAAAGCTGTGTACCAATGGCTGCTACCTGCTCTGCTCATCCCTCAGCCCTAAGGAACTCGTTTCCTCCACATAGAAAGTCCCTGGAGCCCTAAACCAACTCTTGCCCCAGCGCGAGAGCGGGGAGGGGACAGTGGCGCTGACAAGCTGCTCTTTGGGGACACAGGTCGGGTCCTGCCCGCTCGCTGCAGCCTGGCATCTGTTGAGTGTCTCGCTGTTGCCCGCTCTCAGAGCAGCGCAAGAGTGTTCACAGCTCTCAGGAACTTCTTTTTATTATTTGTAATGGGATTAATAAATCGCAGCTGTTCCCTTTGTTTGTTTTCATTCATTAAGCACAATTATATGCAGCCCAATTGCACCCTCTTTGATGCAAAATGGGAGAGAATAATTTTTCCTGTTGTTCAGTGCAATAATACGCTGTCATTGGCTGTGAATGAAAATCATAATTAATTTTCATTTGGGTACTTGCGTCTTGGTAATCAGTGGTCCTGGCTCCTTGCAGCAGGTGACAAACCTGGGTCTGTCTTTATACTCGGCACACATTTCCTTTTACTGTATTGTTTCCGTAAGGACGAGATAAGAGAGGACCAAATAAATGCAAGGGAAGGTTGTGAATCTTTCACCACCTGAACGTCCCGTAATATGTAGCTGTCTTATCAGGGAGCAGAGGAGGTGGATGGTGGGAATAGACTCCTATTCAAGTTCTCGCACCAATCTCATTTGATTCCAGCTCAGCCACCTTTAAGACATGCGGCGTTTTGGTTTCTGCTGAGTGTTATTATAGTTATTTTGTTCTCTGTGTACCGTGATGGCAGCCCCAGCTCCGCGGCTTCGTGGCAGGGGAGTGAATCTGCAGGCAGATCCTACGGGCAGAATCCGGGAGCTCTCCCAAGTCCGGGGTGGCTGCTGCAGCGGGAAGTGCCCGGCGCTCCGGCCTGCGGCGCTCGGACGTTTCCCTGCCGTAGGAGCCGGCACCCAGTGCCGAGACATTTGCCTTGGCCCTGGCTGCAGCAGGGCAGCGAGCCCTGCTCTCCGTCACTGTCCATCTGCCCAGCCCCCTCCAGGTGTTTCCAATTCCCTGCTCCCGCTGCCCTGATGGACAAGCAGCGCTGGCCCGGGGGGTCCCGCGGAGCCTTTCCCTGCCCATCCATCCTGCCCGTGGCGGATGCTCCGCGCGGAGCCCGCGCGGCTCTGCCAGCCCGCGGGCGCTGCTGCAGCAGCTCTTCATCAAAGCGAGCGGATTCCCCATTAAGAAGTTACCTGTAGGGCTCCTGATGGACTTTGCCTGCCTCCCAGTAAGTCTATTAATTATATAACAGTTTGTTTCCAATTATGCAGCCAATGAAATGGTTAATCAAGTCGCCTTTGACGGATGCCTTGATATTTAATTGCAAAAAAATTTGCTCTCTCGACTGGCTCACCCAAGGAGATGAGATTTCTGTCGGGTTTGTTTTTTTCTTTTTTTACATCAGCTTTTCTGCTCTGCCGGCATGGTGTTAGTGAGACAAGACTCCTCACCGCTGGGAGGGCAACTACCCCTTAGTTTTCTGCTTCGTTACTCCCTTCTAGCCAGCCTGGCTCTTGTCCTCCGCCTTCCTGCTCAGCTCCTTCCCCTGCACCTCCGGGAATGGCAGTGTCAGGACCATCCGTCCTGCCCCGCGAGCTGTCATCGCAGCCGGAGCTCCTTTGGAGAGCGGTGATTTCAACGGAGGAAATTCATCCTCTGGCGTTTCCGATGTCGCGAACGCTCCTCGCACAGGGCTGGGGTTTTGCTGCTGGCAGCAACTGAAGCCTTGTGGCTTCGTAACATCTTTCCGTGCTCTGGTCCCTCTGCAGAGCAGCCAGGTCCTCTCTGGGACTTTGTGGTTTGCTTTGGAATGTCCCTCTCTGGTGCAGTCACGGAGGTGGTGGGAAGATGCTGCTTTCTTATTAGGGAGATTTGCTTGTGTTTGAGCCTGGATGACTTTGGTTTCTCACTGGCTGCATCCAGCAGCTCCCTGGTGTTGCTGCAGGAATGAACTCGAGCTGCCTCTCATGGGACCTGCATCCCGATGACCCCTCGTGCTGTTCTCATGTGTAAATGAGGGAATTTGGAGCGGTTTGGGGTGCGGGAGGCCCTTTCTCACCCTCTCCTCCTCCTGTGTCCCACCAGATCCTAGCTGCTCTGGAGAAGGACGAGCAGGCCAGGAGGCAGCGGCTGCGGAGCAAGCAGCAGCA